TGGTTTACACGTTATGTAGAAATTGGATAACTCACAAGACCAAAATTTCTGGTATTCAAAGACCTGAACTTGATTTCATAAAAGCCTTTGCTAACAGTTCTTTCCCTCTGGTTTATTTTATAGATATTATTTTATGGTATATAAGGGGCAGCAGAATTTTATCAAAGAAACAAAACAAATAAAGGACTAAAATGTCTGAATTCCCTGTGCCATCAGTCAACCACAATCAAAGTTTGATACAAATCCCTTAGAACTCATGGAAATTAATACTGTGACCACTCTTACTAGAAGAGCTACAGAGGCTGCATAACATTATGTTATATATATTTGCCAGAATGAAGTGACTTTTTAGTATTTCAAGCCTAAAAGCACTTTAAAAAATAAAAATGTAACATATTATTAATGGTTTACACGTTATGTAGAAATTGGATAACTCACAAGACCAAAATTTCTGGTGTTCAAAGAAGTCCTGGACTAGATTTCAGAAAGGTCCTTGCTAACATTTCTTTCCCTCTGGTTTATTTTATAGATATTATTTTATGGTATATAAGGGGTAGCAGAATTTTATCAAAGAAACAAAACAAATAAAGGACTAAAATGTCTGAATTCCCTGTGCTATCAGTCAACCAAAATCAAAGTTTGATACAAATCCCTTAGAACTCATGGAAATTAATGCTCTGACCAGTCTTACTAGAAGAGCTATAGAGGCTGCATAACATTATGTTATATATATTTGCCAAAATAAGTGATTTTTTAGTATCTCAAGCCTAAAAGCACTTTAAAAAATAAAAATGTCCCATGTTATTAATGGTTTACACCTCCATATTGCTGTACAATTAGAGAGTAGTAGCACAGGGAGTACCACAAACCCTCCAAGGCTTGGACTCGCTCTGTTTGACACCCCCAAAAACCTGCATTAAAAACAATTAAAATAAGGTTTATTACCTGGTTTGCTCTGGAGGAGTTACACTTTTGTGATTCTTTAAGCTCTTTAGAACTCCCTCATCCCATTTGCTCTGCTGGAGATCTTTAAACCCACTCTCTTCATAGTTCAAAACAACATAACAAGATTAGGCGGCGAGCCAAGGAAATCAACCCCGTGCCAATTCCGGGCCTTGGAATTCTAATTAGAACCTCATTTGTATTAACCTCCATTTCTAACATCAGGACAATATTATCACTCCTGTGATTATGCCACTGCAGGAATTATCCTCCCCAGGAAGGTATTGCAAGATGGGAACAATGCAGGGTGATCCTAACTCGTGTCAGGTTATTAATAGGTGAGCATTCCAGAAAAATATATATTAATGTAAAGGTGTTTAATGGAAAATGTGATAAGGAGATAGTCATTCATTAGCAAGAATTGATAAACAATATGTCCTAATCTAGTGAAAAGTCTCTCAGTGGGTTTGGAACAGAATAATTTGGCCTTTGGTCAAATTTTAGGGTTTTTCATATTATCATGTGACCCAGAATAGTGAGATGGGGAGCAAAGCATTGTCAGTAAAAGGTCATTTTTGTAGAAGGGATCTCTCCAAAGTCCAACAGAACACCAGCCAGAACACTTTTTCATATAAAGGAGTAAATTTTAAAACCAAAACATATATTTTAATGCACCACCTTAATGAACTTACAAGAAAATCCTGTGGTTGAAATCACAGGTTATTTCTCCCTTGTGCTGAAGAGAGCTTGGAAAGCACACACAGAAATAAATACTGAAAATACACTTGCAGCACTAATTCACTGAGCTACTACCACTGAAATTCAAATAACAGTCATATTTTCAGCAGAAAATTGCCTAAATCTGAGTGTTGTCAGTGGTGTGTGTAAGTTAAATTTAGCACAATCCCAACAAAACCTGGGGATCTATGGAATGCTTGTGTTTGTGACGATGTGTTTAGCACAGCAGGATCATATATGAATACAAATCTCAAAGTGTGAGAGCACTTCTGGTGCATGTTTGAGCTGTTGTTTTGCCATGAAGATGCTATTTTTGTTTCCATAGAAAGACAGATTTAAAAAATGAAACCATAAATGTCTCTTTGGGGTTCACTGCCTCAGAACAAGTCAGCTAAACTTCAGAACCTTCAGGAGATTATTAATTGTGCCCTAAGGGATGGATTCAGATTGTATTTCCACATGGTAATGATCAATACCACCTGCAAAAATAATTCAGATATTCACAGGACATCTTAAGCTGAGCACCAAAATTATTTCTCATCTCTGAGGATTTAAGCAGAAATCTTCTTTGTGGACAAAAGTATTTTGTGCAAGGAAGAAAACTCCTATAAAAACAGCCCTGAAAATATGTTTGAGTGTTATCCTGGACTAGGGGAAGGTGTCCCTGGAACAGGATGATCTTTGAGGTCTGTCCCACAGATTTCCACGCAGAACCTCCCAGGTTCTGGCAGCCAAGTGGGAAATGCAGATGGGAACTTGTTGCTTGGGGCTTTTAATCAAGCTCAGCTGCAACAAAACCTCTCTCCAATATTTTGAAAGCCTTTCAGAGTTTGTGATGCTCTGGTTGGTGTTTTACAAGCCACTGGGCTCCATTTCCTTGAAGAAGTTTGTTTTGGAATATCATGAGAGACGACCATATGAGCAGAACTTCCAGTTGATTCTCCCCAGAAGTTTATTGCCTGTGCAGCTCCTCTGAACACAGAGCAGAGAAATCCTACATTTTAATGCACTCAAAACTAGGCAAAGCTCCTTCCACCAGAAAATATGATTGATTGTTCCAATGACAGTAATTGCATTTTAGTAAAAGTAACCATTATGGTAATTTTTCCTCCAGGAAGAGACATTTAACTAACTTAAGTAACTTGTTACTTTTCAACACATTAACTTTGGCAAATTTCACATTACAAACGTACAGAGTTCACAGCCACAACAACGTGCATCACTCAGGGAGTGTGCACACTTTTTTCATTCTATATATCAAGCAGTGTTTCCAAATAGTATCTGCTAAAAAAAAAAAAAAAAAAAAAAACCCAACCAAAAAACTGTGCATACATAACACAGCATTAATTAAACTGTTAAGAGCAGCTCTAACACGTCCCCTGCCAAGTCTCCTGTCGAAAAATTCTGCCTTTCCAAGTAGCAAAGTTTGTATCATTGGGAGATATTAATTCCAGGGAGAAAATGCCAGCTCTGGGAACACCAGAATAAAGGCTCCTTTTGGGGGAAGCAAAGCAGATCAACAGCGACTCACGACACACCAGCCAGAGAGGTGGGTGGGGAATGACAGACACAGAAAAGCTCAGGGTGCAAAAAAAGGGTGCAGAACTCTGGAGCTCCAGATCACAACATATCAGAGAGCAATTCCTGTGACAGACCACCTGTTACATCACTGGGACATCCAGAATGTTCTAAAAAAACCCCAATATTAGCATTTAATTTCACGTATGGCTTCCAAGCAGCACTTGAATCCCAGCCTGACCCCTGCACTGTGAAAGGGGTGCATCATTTTGAACACCCTGCTATTTTATAAGCATTCAGTGCCTCTCAGGTTGTAGGGACTTCTCATTAAAGTGTAGCTCCTGATAATTAAGAGCTACAGCACGAAATAATTTAAGCAGCCAGGGTTTGTCTCACACAACTTCACGAATTAAAGTAAAAACGCTCTGGCTTTGCTTTAAAGATAAAAATCACTCCTCGTGCTTTGAAGGGACTCTAAACTGCCATCCTCCTGAACATTTCTACACTGGAAAAGAACTGAAATCAATCTGGATTTAAATGTTGGGTTTTTAAGAAATTTCCTTTAATTGGAAAGACCAGGAAAAAAAAATAAATCTGAATTTCAACGGATCGGATTTAAAATTTTTCTCTTCATTTTTCCCCCTGGTCAAAGGAGCACCATTCTGGAGGAGGTTGTGCTTCCACACTCAGGATCTGGGTTGGCAGGGCCAGACTAACAGGTTCTGTCCCATCTCACTCCTCCCTTCAGAGAATCAGAGACCTTTCAGCTCTGTTCACTCAAGTCTTTCAGTGGGGAAATACTCTATTCTGGAATTTAAGTGGATTTTTTGAATGGATTCAGATTAGGGAGCTTCAGTTTTAAATAGTGTGTTAAGCATTTAGCTGGGACAGTCAATGGTTTTACTCTACTCTTATTTAAAGATCCAACTTTTAAGGACAGCAATAAATGCTATAAAGGTGGAGGAGAGTCTAGACAAAGATACAAGGGGCTAAGAAATAAAAAGTTGGAATAATAACCTGTATTATCTCAAAGTCTGAACTACTTTTTCAGCAGCAGCCTTCCAGATAATTTTAGAGAAACCCTTAATTATTCTTTTCTTATTTTGTCTTTTTTTTTTTCTTTGGTTGGTTGGTTGGCTGTATTTTTGGTTTGGGGTTGTTTTTTCTTTTTAATTTTAAGAACTTGCACCTGCAAATTCATCCATGATTTGTTTGACTTTTATAACCAAAAAGCAACTATTGGGTTGCAAACTCTTAGTGAAGCAAAGCCAGAATTCTTGAGCAGTCAGAAAGGGTTGGAAATCCACACAGTCCAAGAGAACTTTCTTTCCAACATTTTCAGGACAGGGCTGGATTCCCCTCCCTGGAGGGATTTCCAAGCCCTGGGGAGGTGGCACTTGGGGACAGGGGTCAGTGCTGGGGGATGGTTGGACTTGATCTCAGAGGAACTTTTCCAACCTAAAGGATCCTGTGGTTCTTTAAGACTAAAAAAATCTCTCCACTGCTGTTGATCTTCCACACAGAATATTTAAGAAAACATCAGAATCAGTTTGGCTTCTCAAAGCTGAAGTGAAATCAGAAATAAACCAGTGACTGACACACCAACAGCAGTAACCTGGGGCACACCTTAAGAGCTTACTAACATTCCACCGTGGAATTTTGTAAGATTATTTTTATAACACAGTGTCCTAGTTACTGTTGAGGAGAAAACTCACAGTTGAAACAGAACTGGCAGCCAACCTCCTTAATTAGTCCTTGATCTTCCCCGTGTCTCCTAAATGACACAAAGCAAACCACATTACCTGAATTTTGCTTTGCAGGGTGCAGGAGTTAATTCTTCAATTAGTTCCTCAATTAATTCTTCAATTAATTCTTCAATTCTTCAATATCAGCTGAAGGAATTGGTGGTTTGGTGGAGGCTTCCCAGGCACTGGAAGCAACTCAGAGTAACGTCCTGTCCTCAGCTTTGAGCAGGTGTGAGCTGTTAAAAAATCACCCAAACAAAGGCCCCAATCAGGGGGTGATGCACTTTTTCATGGCCACCCCCACAAACTGCCTATTCCCTGTGCAAAGGGGTTAATTCTGCTCACCTGGCAGGAACTCCAAAGGGAGGACACACCTGGAAGAGATTGAGACTTAAATTAAGAACTCCTGTACATAATGCATTAAATTTGGCAGGAGAGACGGGGGAAAAAATCCATCATAACTACTGTTTGCATTGTACTACAAGATTACTTAAATTAAGGGGAATTTGTCTCAAAGAAGGTATTTAATTTTATTGAAGTAGCTGAAATTGTCTCAAAAATTCCAAGCAGCACAATGCTATGTAAGGCCTGGAAATATAACAAAAGGAGATAATGCAACCAACCACAATCTGTAACTTTATCCTGATGTCCAACAACACAATAAATGTAATTTGGGGGGGAGAGAAACTCTGCAAATCTTTGTAATCCAAAGAAAAACCACCTATGAAACTCATGGATTATTTTAGCAACATTTTGGAGGAAAGGAAGGGTGTCAGACTGTAACAGTGGCAAGCACAATTCATCTAGGTCCTGTATTTTCCTCTGACTGTTTTGTTGCACAAATGCTGAGTGGAACTGCCTAATACAGAAAATATCTGCTGTGAGAGGAGAGAGAATTATTTCAGTGGGTGTGGAAATGTGTTTTGCTTAGTTTGGATCACAGAAGATACAACTTGAGGTTTATTCAGAGCAAACTGGTTAAAGGCAGGCAGGTGTGAGAGACAAAATGAGTCCAAGCCCACACCCTGGGCCCTATCCAAGGTGTTGTCTTGGGAGTCAGGGCTTAAAATTATGACCATTAATCCTCTTTTAGAATATCTGGCTGTTTAGCAAGGAGCCACAGTTTAAACTGCAGCTCCACAAGCCCTTTAAACCAGCCCTTGAACACCAAAAAAAGCAGCTCCTGGTTTCCTTCACACACTTGTTGTGGCCTTAACCCCAGGAAGGTGCTGAGCTCTAAGCCAGCATAAATATTGGTGAGGCTGGGAAGGAGGAGAGCTCAGAAAGGGATTTAAAGCTCATGTTTTGGTTTGGGTTGTTCTCTGGGCTGGTTTGAACCCAAATCAGTTCCCCAATCAGTTCAATGTGCAGCTGCAGGAACATTTGTGCAGGGCAGGGCAGCATCTCTGGCTTAGGGGGGCTTAAAGTGTTTGTGGAAGTGCAGCAGGAGTGTAACTGAAGATCTGCTCTAGCCTAACACTGCCAATAATCCACAAATGCCATTCCAGAACACAGGAATAGTTAAAGCATATAAATGGCCTGGCCATGTGCTCTGCACAGGGGCCTGGCAGAGGAGAGCTGAGGAATTGCAGCAACAGCTTGAAAAATAGGTGAGTTTTGAGGTAATTGTGTGTTCCAACAAAGCAATAAAGGAGAAGAATAATCACCTGTTAACATATGACAGTCATATGTTATATATTGGGCTCAGCCCACTAAGTTTTTCTCAGGTGGGAACCAGCTGAGAGGTGTTAAAGATAACAGGACGTTGTGATTTTAAAAATAACAGTTAAATAGTTTAAAAAAAAAATCATCAAAAAAAGTTCCTTTCAATATTTTGAAGTTTTTTTGCTAAATATTTGACAATAAACCTTCAGGATTCAATATTTGACAATAAACCTTCAGGGTTCTTCCATACTAGTTAATACGGATGAAACATCCAGCCCTCCTGTAAGACAAAACACACATGACTCAGTGAATTCCTGATATTTTAATGGCAATAAAACTTGGAAACCAATCTAGATTGGGACTGTTTGCTGAATGAAACAAGAAAAAACCTGCCCTTTTCCCTTCTTCCCTGGCCTTAGCCTGAGAACTGCCATGGCAATGCCCATTAAACCTGGCAAGGGGGGGTGGTTTCTGAGCACCAAAACTCTGAGTTTTTAACAAAAAAAGGCAAAACTAAGCACTGCTGTGCACAGTTCCAGGAGGGAAAACCCTCTGCTTTCCACCCAGATGGCAGCCAAGCAACTGCTGCAGTGGAATGAGCCTTCCAAGCCATGGGAATGTCTCTCCTGGGAGCTGGTTAAGCTTCCTTAACACTCTTAATCCACCTGGCTATGGAGCTGGCAGACATGCTGGCACCCACCTTCCTGCCTCCACAGGGCTGCCCAGGGGGCTCAGGGTTTCTTTTCCCTCCCTGGGGATCCTCACAGGCTCTGGGACACAAAATAATTCAGTTTTCCATCATTTTTCCTGTGTCCTTCATGAAGTACTTTAAGGGAAGTGAAAACCTCTCAGGAACTTCGAGGAAAAACAAAGTGATAATGGGGAAATAAATTCTGAGTTTCTCTGGTAAAAAAAGATCTTATTTAGGGAATGGTATAGAAAGAGGGAACTCTAAAGTAGTTCTATTGGCTGTGCCATTAATTAATTCATCAAATATTCATGGGAAAAAGAGGAATGGCTTCAAGGTGGTGGTGCTCCAATGGAATAATCCCAATGTTTTGGGGCAAATATGGGGAAAAATCCACCATCCATGTGTGTGTGTTTCACCTGCCCTGATGCTCTGTGTGAAACAAAACCACTTTTCCCTCTGCAGTTCCACTAAAGTTGATGACTTGGTGTTCCTAAAACCAGGTGTGTGCTCTGTGGATCACTAAAAACAACCTTTGTTCTCATTGCCTAAAAATTTCAAGGCCAAAAAAATAAAATTTAGGACGGTTGATGCTGTGTAGAAAACTTTCTAGTTAAATGGAGGAAAAGAAATAAAAAAGGTTAAATTTTATCCATTTTGAAAGAGCCTGAACTGAAAAAAACTTCTCATTATAAGGAGTAAAAGGAATTCTGCCATCTCAGATATTAACATGTTATCTGTTCAATGTCTGAATTGTAATTGTTATACATTATTAGTAATTAATTATTCCAACCATTTGCCTTTGCAGAAAGGTTTTATTAGCCTGAAACTGCTGCCTCTAGAAGCAGGAGGATTTCTTCTTTCACATGAAAATTTGGAAGGGTTAATTCTACATTCTCCAATCACAAGAAACCATTGGATTATTAGCAACAACAAACAATTAAATTATTGCCATGGATCTTCACATTTCCCTCCTCCAATTCCAAATGACCAATTTTCAAATTTGGGGTTCTTTGGGATAATTTGATGAATTATTTGGGATTGTTTGATAAATCCTTGACTCCCAGGAATGTTATCCTGACTAAGGTTTTAAATGATAACTCTGCAAAAAAACCCTCTCAAATCCACAGTTTTCCTCTATTTCCTGAAAAACTTGCCTGCTACTTGTAACCTGGCTGAAAATAACATATATAAATAATATAGTAGTTACATCTCTTCAAGTATTTTAAGGGTTTCAAAAGAGCCAAAAGTCACACTGACACAATAATTCTGAAGAAGCACACAGTCAAATATTCCAAATATCTGCCAATCTCACCCCTTTGGCTGCTTTGCTCTCCTATTTCTTTACATTTGCAATTTAATTGCAAATTGTTCATCTAAAATATATAAATCTTTACCAACAAATATATATGTATGTGTATAAAGCTTTTCAAAGTGGGGGCCTGAAAGCAAATCCTAGAAGGAAACATCACACTCTTCCTCCAGGAAGAAAGGTTTGGGAGTTTGGAATCCCTGCTCCAGGATTTTATGGAAAAAAATAAAAAAGTCTGGAGAGCAGGTCAAAAAGGCAAAATAATCATGAGTATGAATGTAGCCTTGAACAACAATTTCTTGGTGGAGATTGTATTGAAAATTATGCATTTAAAATTTTGCATTTAAAATTTGGTATTTAAAATTTAGCATTTAAAACTTTGCATTTAAAATTTTGTATTTAAAGTTTCTGTATTTAAAATTTTGTATTTACAGTTTTGTATTTCTGTGTTTGTTTTTAAACTTGAGGCAGGAAAAGAGTTGGGGTAATGAGGGTCTACAGGCTCCAGCTTTTTCCATTGAAAAGGAATTTGTCACACACACACAAACTCACTCCATGAACAGCTTTACAGAATGTGAGACAGGGAAATCCTGTCCATTTGTAATTTTTGGTACTGGTCACGTGAGGGAAATGAGGACACCAAAACCAAAATATCTGGATCCAAAAGGGGTTTCTGAGTTCAGCAGGTATTTCCCTTTGCAAGCTTTGGGTTTCAGTTCATCAGCATTCCAAAGGTTGAATTAATTCCACATTTTCTCATGCTATCCATATAACTGGAAAGCACCTCAATAGTTTTGGGACAGAGTAAAAATGTGCAAAATAATGAATAATTTGTAGCAATTTTATTATCTGTCCACTGCAATAAACTGGAAATTTGTATTAAAACTCTTTTGGAATATTATGAGTTCCACATAAGTTATGTATATGAAACTAAAAATACTTTAAGGCAGTTGCTTTTAATTATTTATTTATTTATTTATTTTTAATTTAGGCTGTCCTCCAGTATCTGCACTTCTTCCCAGTGGCAAGTCAAGCTGGCTGGTGAGGAGAGAGATGAATTCCTTGCCATTTTGGCCCTTTTTGGTTTGGTTGTGGAAGGACAGTGCCTGAACCTGCTCCTCTCTCCCTTCAGAGTTTCAGAGGGAGAATTATTTACACCATGAGGGAAGATTAAGGAGATAACACCAAGGGTTCTACTCCTGATATGACAAACCCCACTTAAAAATGCTTTTGTAGGTGCTGTGAATGAGTCCTGCACAAAAAGTTTCTTACCTATCTCGCTGGGTTTGGGTGTTGATTCAGTGCTGAGTGTGGGGAGAGCTGAAATCCTCAAATCCTCAATTTCTGAGGAAAAAAAAAATGAGACATTGCTGGGTTTTAATTCTCCTCATTATTCCCCTAAAAGGAAAGTTATATTTGTGCTGCCTCTAGGCAAAGAACCATCCCACATGAGCAAAAGACTGGAGC